TAAGAGAAATTTACCTCGAGGTGTCAGTGCACAGGCCTGAAAGGAAAAAAGAGATCGAGGTGAAGGTTCAGCGGCTATTTATAGCCAGGAAAGAGAGACCCCTGGTGAAAGGGTTAACGGAGTGAAAGGAGGAGTTAACTCCGACAAAGGCGAACTTTAGATAAGAAGAGATAAAAAAAAATATAGCAATTTTTCATGAATTTATCCTAAGATGCCTGCTTAATGATTATATAAAGATGATGCTATTGGAAATGTTGTTACTTGCTGTATCCTTAGAATTTCAAAATAAACGAAATAAAAGCGATTCTATATCATGTTTTTCCTACAAACGTCCCATAAAAGGGAAACCATTGTTTTGTTTACGTTTCATCACGTGATCTCTTGCGAATATTGATTCTTCTTCTTCTTTCTCTTTTTTCCTAAATATTGTGTTATTATTTAACACCAAAATGATAATGAATTCTTAATGAGAAATGAATATTATGTTATTCTACTGTCGTACTTACTTAACATTACTATGTTGATTATTGAAAGGTTAGCGAAAGATAAAAGATTGTTGTGAACGCAATCATAACTCGATGTTTACATTTTCTCAGCTCAGTTTGCATGGATACAAGTCGATTTCATTGAGATGGAATTATGATTATTCTTTGAATAAGCAATTTATTATGAAGTTATACCAGTAATATATAAGGCAGAAATGGTTTTATTACTTTTATTATTAATTTATTTAATAATGTGAATCTTTTCATGTACGTTATTGGTTATCGCACCAAGGCCGAGGTTAAGTTTACTTTACAGACAAAACATCACTTAGAATTTAAGGTTTCTTTTTTTAGAATTATACTATAAGATGACCCCCAATTTTTAAGGGTGATTTTGGGGATTTAAAGGTAGTCTTATACGCGGAAATATACGGTATACGTTTTTTGCAGTAAAAATGTCAATAAATTGGAACTTTAGTTTATACTATAATTCTTGAAAGTTTGTTTAGCTTACGAAAGGTATAAATTCCACTTCTTCTCCTCCAGCTATGGGTGACTTAATAAGGCTTGTATCACTAAATCATTATTATCTAAAAAAAAAATATTCTTACAATCTAAAACTATTTTCTGGCTTTAAATAACCTGCAAAGGGTTGATAAACCGTAGAAAACTAATCAATCAATCAATCAATCAATCAATAAATCAACGCTGCTATTAAATAGTAACTGTAAAAAGACCTTTATGATCTTTCTGATAAAAGGCGTCTTGTTCCCAGATATAAAAAATTCAACATATATTCGGGCGGATCTCTTAAGCATTCCTATTTGTTGAATTTTCTCGATAATTGTTTTTATGGTTATTTACAAATGAGCTGTAAAGCTAGATCAGCTGATACTCAAATGCAACGTGTTACAATACCAGAATTTATGGAAACAGGGAATGACTGATTTTCTGCATTTGAGGTAAAATTTTAAACTCAGATGCATTGCCGATTCAGCAATAAGATCTTTCTCCGTTATTGCAGCCTCACTCCCTGAAGTTGTTGTAGAATTGCATTTTCTTTTAGATTCCCAAAAATACAATCAATTAAGACAAGCCATTTTATCGGCTTCTGAATAAAACAGGCAAAGCCTGAAATTTTAGACAGCAAAGTACAATAACATTATTTTTATTTATTTTTTACTAAAGTTCACTCAATACAAGCCTCAAGAGTTAATCAAGGTAGAGAATGAGGTGTATGATATGAATGTAAGAGGAGGTTAAGGCTGTAATATTCACTTGCGCTGGTGTCTTTTCCACAAAGTAGTATTTCTTGGGAAACATTTAAGTGGAACTTCCTCCTTATAATTGGAATACGGGGGAAATGAGGGCGATTCGACTCCGTGGATGTAGTATGGTGAGTTTTAGCTAGAAAGATTTGAACTTGTGGAACAAGACATTGGACCTCATCTGAACACTTGCCATGGAAATAGTGTCAGAGTAACAATAGGCTTGTAATGTTGTATCTGTGGGATAGAAGTTGGAGAATGTTGCCCCCCCCCCTAACAAGACTGCGTAAAGGATTTGGGACTCAAAGCTGAGGATCTGGCAGCTCCAACTCAGATATAGCAACAATACGTCATTTTCGATCTAATCTGACTCAGGACCATTTTTCCAGCATCATTAGCGATAGATTGTGTATATGAATTACATTTGAGGTCTGAAGTGAACTTGAATGCCAATAGACGCTCAAACCAAGGAGTCTTATTGAAAGGGTAACCGTTAATCGAAACTGGCGACAAGATAGATCGATAGCTGATCGTGTTAGCATCAGTTATGAACTACTACAACTTACATTTCTGTAAGAATTATCTTCGTTTATAGCACCTGGCCTTACTTTACAAAAAGGCTTGACCTCTACTTAAACAAACTATCAAATGAGCTAATGTCTTCGCTTTAAGACAAGAACAAATACTATCTCACTCACAAAATAAAGCATCTACAACAGAAAGAAATCAAACGATAGTTTAAAGAACAAAAACCGAAAATATCTCATATATCAAGGTGAGAACAAGTAAACGTTGGTACAGATGGTCCCAGAAGCAAATGTTAACCAACTCTCAACCTCATATTTCTGTTTGCCGTGTCCTTTCAGGACGTGACTGATCGTGACTCGCTACAAGTTTCTATACTTTGTAGCTCTTAACAATGTTTCTTTTGACTATCCCTCCAACTCCTTAGTTTTACTAACCATTTACATAAACTCTGTTTCCTTCTGACTCTCTTGCCTTCAGTATGTCCTGTGGGTGTCAAATTTCCCACACCTTTTCTCATTATGCCCCAGAAATTTCGACTCTTTATGATTTATATATAAGTTCCTTTTTACTTCCCTTTTCATTAAAACTTTCGCGTATGTGCTGTAAGCTTGTGTGCGGATGGCGTAATAGACAACGTTACAGAGAGTTGAGTTCCAATTCCCGTTGGGTTCGTTATATTCACTTACACGCAAATACCTCTAGGAAAATTATGAATTCACCTCTCCTTCCCCCGATATGGATCAATTAGTAAGACTTTTATCACCATATCATTATTATCTAAAAAAAAAAACTTTTATCTAAAAATATTTTCTAGCTTTAAATAACCTGCAAAGGGTTGATAAGCCGTAGAAAATGAATAATTAAATCCATGGTATCCTCAGCATCCTTCTGTAGAACTACATTTCTCTTACCTCTTCTTTGAGGAAATTGTCCAGCATTCAATTCCGTATGAGAAGATTATTATTACATAGCAGTAATTTATTACCTTTTATTATTTACCGTTTTATAAAGTTCGAATCATTTAGCAATTAACTGATGTTTTGCCAGCCATTCCAATAAACAATATAATAATAAAAAAAGATAGTGCAAATAAAAATGCAATAAATAAAATAGTGCTCATTATTTTTGTCGTCAATTCTCAAAAACAAAGAAAAATGTGTAAATTCACTTTCATATGTTTAGGCTTAATTCTAATCATCATTTTTTTTTTTTTTTTTTTTTTGGAACAAAATTTTAAAATTTTCTTAATACGTTGTTTAGCTTTTAGAAGGCATTTTTGCTATCCCAATATTCCTTCGGATTTCAGTGTTATATTTATATCAGTCATTTATAATCATTTCACTTTAAACAAGGTAATAAAAATCCACAAGGATCGAACAGAAGGGACAATAAAAGATTTTTGAAGATCGTAGTTGACAGAAAATCAGGAAGACCGGGGAGAGTTCCACAAGCGAGAAGTGCGGAAGAAGAGAGTATTGGAAGAGAACTTCCGATTAAAATTAAATATGCGTTTATCGAAACTTTTGACTTGCTTGATTTTGACATCTCCAATTCGTAGCTCGGATTTTGGGCTTTTTCTCCTGTTGACAACCATGAATTCTGTCTTACTATAATTGATAGTCATTTCTTCCCGTTTTCCTTTAATACTCTGTCTTGTGGGTCTTGTAGGAATTCTTTCCTGGGTTTGCCATCAGCACAGGTTCATCTGCGTATTTTATATTCTTAAGATTGTGTCCACTGATAATAAATCCTGCTAGTAACCAAGGTGAACCTGAAAACTAATTTGTCGGACTGCGTAATCCCTGACAAACACATCAATGCTTCAAACTGTTACACAACCAGGTATCTACCAAAATAAAATGTTTTTAACACTGGTGCTAGTATTTCTATATAAGTAACATCTTTTGTTATATTGTTTGGGGTTAAATTCTTTTATCAGTTACATCTGGCAATAGAGTAATATAAAATGCCATAATGTTTAAAAAGATTTTCCCTTGTGGATTTTGGTTGTCTAATCTCTGATGTCACTAATCCTTTATTAGGCTTTTTGTTTCTTTTACAACTCTGACTTAACAGAAAATGTAAAAAAAAATAAAATAAAATTCTTTAATATATTTTTTGCCTAAAGGAAGATTAAATGTAATACTAACGCCGATAGAGTTTATCGCTAATGATGTTCGTCTTCCTCCATTTGTCGGGGAATAAGAAAATGTACAAATATTACGTCACCTCATAGAAACACGCGGAAGAAATTCTGTGAAGCTTGTCACGTGATGTGGGTGCCATGTTTCAGTTCTTGCTAAATAAAATTGCAGTCTATATCATATTGAATTTTGTAATACTAGAAACAGCTCGTATGGGAGGAAAGATTCACAAGGGCAAACAAAAAGATTAACACACAAACACATCGCACATCATAATATATGAACGAAATTATATATAAATTGATATATATAATTTTGTATATGTCAACTTTTATCAAATTTTATATATTTTTCTCTCTCTCTCTCTCTCTCTCTATATATATATATATATATATATATATATATATATATATAGTATCGTCTCCTGCACTTCTCGCTTGTGGAACTTTCTTCCGGTCTCTTGCATTGCGGTAAACTTTGATTTTCAAAAATTTAAATGCAATACCAATCGTTATCCTTTGTCTTCTTAATTCATCTTCCTTTATTGTCCTCTCTCTTTAATTTTTGTTCAGCTGTCGGTCATATGACATGGAAACACCGGTTCTCGTACGACTGTCGAAGTTAAGCAACGTCGAGCCTGGTGAGTACCTAGATGGGTGACCGCTCGGAAATACCAGGTGCTGCAAGCTTGGATGTACGGTTGGTGTAATGGATAACAGCTCGAAATTCTTAATCGGGGAGCCGAGTTCCAATTCCAGTCGGATTCCTTATATTCACTTACACGAAAATACCCTTGGCAAAAGTATGAATCCACCTCTTCTCCCCCAGCTATGGGTTAATTAGTAGGACTTGTATAAGTAAAATCATTATTATCTCCAAAAATTCTTACAATCTAAAAATAATTTCTCTTTAAATAACCAGCAAGAGGTGGATAAGCCGTAAATCAAATCGATCTTTAATAATGTTTTGCCTTATCTCAAATTCTGTCATACCATTGCGTCTTAGTGACTTTATTGCCTTGCTTGAGGTGAAATGATTTAAAGAAATCTGACAAATAGTGGGTAACTGATTGACAAAATCGAAAAAAAAGAAACGATGGAGCCTCATATATATATATATATATATATATATATATATATATATTAGGCTCCATCGATACAATTATTACATTATTAGTCTGAAGAAGTAGTAATTTTAATGGACAAAACTTGTAACTTAGAAGTTTGATTTATATTTTGTCATTCAATTACCCATTACTATTCTCTTATAAATGTGCTTGTCTTTCCCTTCGTTAGTTCACACGACCGTTACGCCCTGCCAATACCTCAAATAATGGACTATTCCGTTTTGATCATGTGGAAAGTAGGGAAAAGACATTACTTGGTTTCCGTGAGAAAATGAAAGAAAGACGGGAAGATAGAAGTGGAGAGAGAGAGAATCAGATTAAGCTGATAAATACACTTTGATCAGAGCCAAAAGGCCGAGAAACAATGGCAACCGCGATAAATGCGTTAATTTTCAGACGCACAATATTGAACGACGGAAGCCGAGTAAGGCAATCGCCAATAATCCAGTTACCATATGAATAATATAACATCGTCTGCTGAATAATTTTTAAATTATTATTAAGAAAATTGTTCGTAAGACGGGGATTTGGCTAGTAATATATGAAAACGGCAGTTTCCTTTCATTTGTGAATGAATTCATGAGAAAGTATGCACATATTAAGTCACTTCATTCAAATACAGATGTAAAAAAAAATATACGGGTAGCCATACTCCAGTTTTGCCAAAACTAGAAAAAATCGAAAGCATAAGTTTTGAAAAAATCAGAATTCCGGGGTCACATCACCTTGTGAAAGTAAATGAATGAGTTCTCTCCATCTTGTTTCAAAATCTGGACAGTAATTACTGATGCTGAGGGGATTACAGTGCTCGGAATCGTATTACAAAATGTGATCGATATCCGATACCAAATATCAATTAATTTACCTCTGAAATAGCTGTTTTTTTTTTCTTTTTCGCCTAACTTCAACTTATCATCAGATTAAAATGATGTGCACAAGACAACAGCACATTACACCATTCCGACTGAATATAATTATCTGTTTGCGGATTACAAAAAATACGGCAACTGCTTTTAAATACTTTATGGCCAAATATATCTTTTCTACCGAGGACTGCGTATTTAAACGATAACCTTTTATTGAGTGATGATCAGACAACGTGCTTAAAATTTGAAATGAGAATAATTTGAAAATTTTTTTAAAAAATGTATAATGTTTCTTATTGATAACGTTTGGCATGTAATGTAAGAATAAAGGTTAACAAATTGAAATATTTTCCATACCTAAAATATTCTAACAATTTATATGGTGATTTTTATTATTATTATTATTATAAACCTATCCACTTCTTTTTCTTCTTCTATGTGCTGTGATCCTTCAGGGTATGGGTAATCATGGCTTTCCACAACTTAGCCTTTTGTAGCTATTAGTAAAGTTTGTGTTTTTACCACCCATGTTACTCTTTATTCTCCCATCCATTTTCATAAGATTGTTAGGTAAGTTATTAGCTGCTTCCCACTATCCCTGTGGCCTTCAATGTGTCCTGTGAGTCTAAAATTCGCCAAGCCTTCTTTCATCATAATGTGATCTAGAAATTTCAACTTTTCTTTCTGATTTTAATTAGAAGCGACCTTTTTGTTTGCATTTTCCTTAAGGCTTCCTCGTTACATGTTTGACCCATGGTATTCCCAGCATCCTTCTGTAGAACCATATTTCTATTGGCTCAAGTCTCTTCTTCATATGAGGAGATTGTCCAGCATTCACTGCCATATAGGAGAGCCACGACTTTTTTTTTCTTAATACTCTGCTTAGCTTTTGGAAGGCATGTTTCGCTATGCCAATGCGCTTTCGGATTTCGGTGTCGCATTTTCCCTCTTCTGTTAAGACACTTCCTAGATATTAATAGGAAGACTGATATTACATGACAATTCAGTGCTGTTTCTAACGCAGTTTTCCTGTTTCTTAATAGTCTACTTAGCTTTTGGAAGGCATCTTTTGCTATGCCAATTCGCTTTCGGTGTCACATTTTCCCTCTTCTGTTAAGACACTTCCTAGATATTAATAGCAAGGCTGATATTACATGACAATTCAGTGCTGTTTCTAACGCAATTTTCCTGTTCCTTTATACACTGCTTAGCTTTTGAAAGGACATCTTTTGCTATGCCAATGCACCTTCGGATTTCGATGTCACATTTTCTGTCCTCTGTTAAAACGCTTCCCCGATATTTAATTTTTTGTACTTGCTTGGTTTTGGTTATTTCTAATTCGTTGTTCGTATCTTGGGTTATTCCTCTCACTAACAACCATACATTTGGTCTTCTTACAATTGATGTTTATTCCTATTCCTTTAGTACTTTCTGACATTTTCCTTTCCAGGTCTGTTATCTTCACTTGGTCATCTGCATATCTTATGAGGTTAAGGATGGTGCCCGCTAATGATAAAAGCCTGAGTAGAAATCTTTCCCCAGTTATAGCAAAACCTCTTACCTCTGTCTGAATGTATAAGCTTATTTCCCAACTGTTCTTTCGAATTATCCGATATTGAAAAATTCTCTTTGAATATTATTGCGCAATAATTATTTATTATTATTTATTTATTAATTTATTATTGCGCAATAATCATTTATTTTTATTTATTTATTAATTTATTATTGCGCAATAATAACTTTGTAATGTAACTGCTCTCGCTCATGAGCTATCTAAAGTCGCTGATTATCAGTTGGTAAGGGACGATGGATTAATGGAAGGAATCGCAGTGGAGTAATGGATCAGGTTCGGATTGAGGAATCGGAGATCCGAGTTCGAATTCCAGTCATTGCATTCATTTACGTTCTTGAGAAAAGGTATGAATCCACCTCACACCCACCCCAGCTATGGGTAAATAGCAAGACAGACTAAGTTATAGGAGAAGGAAAAACTCAGAATTCAAAATAGTAAATGGTAAATAGTTGGGCATTCTGGGACTTGTAGCCATGGTTGGCAACCAGGATAGGAGATGGACAACTCTGAATTCAAATCCGAAGCCGGAGTCCCTAAGACAGTCTGATGTCATGTTCAGTTTCCTTCTGGTAACTCCAGCGACGACGCCAGTGCCAAGCTGCCTTGGCATCGGTGGCGTGGCATCTCACATAATAATTTTAATTTAATAAAAGATTAATGGAATACTTATTCCTATTACTTTCTTTTCTCAAGACTCAAGCAATGTTTTCTTCTTTTAGCAGAGTTGCTGCCAGAGTTTCACTTTTGCCACCTCATTGACGGCTGTCATGAGTTTATCGACTGACCATAAATCCCTTTTATAGTGCTTTACACGGTTTAAACCCATCAAAATTGTATCGCCTGCAACGATACCTGTCAATACTTAACAAGTTTATTTCTGACATAATACATATTAAAGTTAGTCAGAATATAGTGGTTGAGTGTACGTCACAACCGGCTTTTGCAATACAAGTCGATACCTACGACTTGCCAAAAACAAAACAAACAAAAGAAAACGAGGCAATGCCTAATAGTAGAGAAATCAGATCTTTTAGTAACCTTTCAATGTCAAATAATAATTCTAAGATATGTAATATCTCTATGTCTTATTCTAGACCTTTTATGCGGAAATCTATCTTTAATAGCCTCTATTGTCTAAACAATAAGATTGATCATCTATAAAGTTAAATGTTATTCGCTAAGTATAGAGAATTCTATAATTATGGAGCATATACATCTTGCCAGCAGTGAAAGAATAATAAGCATACAAGATCTTCCATTCAAATATTTTAATTAACTTCATCACGTTTTTAAGCTATTCATATAGATATTGTAGGAACACTTCCGCTTTTATTCAAATCTATATTTAAACATAGATATAATCTGAGTCATTTGATTTCTGTTAATGGTTCGCATTAACAGAAATTACCGCATAATTAATAGCTGAAGCTTTTGTAAATGCATAGATTTTGAGTTACACTCTATGACATGATAGTAGAAGTCAATTTGAAAGTGAGTTATTTTTAGGTTGTTGGTTTTCATAGATTGATGGTGGTAAGCGGTTGTTCTCGAGGTAATGTTTTAATAAAGAGAAAGTGTACAGGAAAATTAAAACAATTCTAGTTTGCAAACTATCTTAACTAATCTCATTAAATTGTATTTGATATATACAATGCTCCTAATTAGGATCCTCACCTTTTTTTGCGCAGTAACTGATTCCTCAGTATTAATTCCTCAACTGCTCCACATTCCATCTGATACAGTCATAGAGGATTCATTATATAATATGATTACTAAGAATGTGTGTAAAACTATTACGTTATGTGTCGTCTTGGATTCTGCTGATCTGTCGGCAGCTGTCCATATTGGCACCCCTGAGATGCACCACAGACTGAAAGAAAGCTATACCCATCGCCCAGTTCACCCTCCTCCCTGGTCTTTTGAACAGGAGTATAGGATCATCCCTTGTTTAATGTGTAGGATGTCGAGCCTGATCAGTACCTAGATGGGTGACTGCTTGTGAATACCAGGTGCTACAAGCTTGTATATATGAATCCATCTCTTATTTCTCAGTTATGAGTTAATTAGTACGACTTGTATCACTAAATCATTATTATCTCAAAAAATCTTACAAACTAAAAAT